TATATAAGCAAATCGAATTGTGTTTCAAACTTTCGAGTCAGTTCTAACATCGACTCGAAGTGAAGTAAGTATTGAGTTCCCTCTCGTGTTTTGTTATAAATTGTGAGTGATAAATATGACTTAACTATTACAAAGTAAGTAAAACTGTTATAAATGTATTGTTTATACCCACGAGGAAATTGTAACGTGTAAGCACACGAACACGAAAATGCAAGATTGCGGAGAATTTTTCTAAAGGCTTGAATCTTTTTGCATTATATATATAGCGTATATTTTGAATTTATGCCAGGCGGTCTTTCAATGCTTATTACCTTAGAATCAGTTTTCTGGCGGAACCAAAAACGGGCACAAATCTAATGTTGTGGGTAGGGTAGGATCTACATATTTTGCGCCTATGGGCCCCTTCCAAATCCGGCCCTGGTTGTGGGTACAAATTCGTCTTTAATTTATACGTTCCATTTCGTTTTATTAATTCTGAGAATTGCCCTTTTTTTGTAAAAAATTGTGTAAATAATGTATAAATTACTACTAAGCGGGTACAAATGCTATTGTTGTAGGTACAAATTAGTCTTTAATTCATAGTTGTTGGTATAACAGTAACTGTATTCAACGACTGATTTCATTTTTAAGTTTATTGATATATTCAATAAGATTTAAGTTAGAAGGAGGTACATGAGGCGAAAGACCAAAAGCAGTCGAAGCCTTTATCACTGAAAAAAAAAACTAATAAAATTTCAATCGGGAAAAGTGGGGGTGCTAACTTGATTGCAAACAAAAATGAAGATTTCTTGCTAGAGAGGAGGGGATTCGGACGAACGATTTGTATCGAGACTCCTCGGCTTCTATATTAGACTTGACAGCATGTACATTTTTGCACAATCGTACGTTTTTGGCATCCTACAATACAAGATGTGACCGGACAGCTTGTAGCCATAGGTACTTACTGCCCTGGATCGCTTGTTCGTACTCCAGTCCTTGAATATAATCACAGATGGCAGATGAGGAAGAACAAGCAAAATATTAAAAACAAAAAAATATGAACACATTTTGAGGAAAAGTAGGAGTAGGTAATAGAAGACAAATAAGCATTTTAGCTACGGCCCTTCATTTGCCCAAGACCCTGAAGAACTACAAGTTGTAGTGCTTTTCTACCAAAAAAGACTAGGTATAATCTTTGAATATTCAAAGGTATAATCTACTTGAAAGCCTTGTATGAATGGCTCGAGTTTTCAGCAACGGAATATCGTAGAGCTTTTCAGTTTTCAGATTCATATTATTGAGTTACTCCAGCCTCCAGCAGCGTTGGTTTGAAAGCTACGGAATACGTGTGTGAACAAATGATGACATTACAATATTCTTCAATTTCAACCTGAAACCCATTGGCCCGTATGAATAAAAGTAAGCAAATGCTTATACTTCCAAAATTCAAAGTAAATACTCATAACTGCCCATTCAAACTGGTCTGTTTAGCATGGTTTAGCAGCGTTGCACTGCGTCCTGTCCTTCTGCTTAGAAGCGCTGCTAAGTCGCCCAGTGCGAAGGAGCACTTACGAGTATTTACTTTGAATTTTGCAAGTATAAGCATTTGCTTCCTTTTATTCATACGGGCCCATGGTCTCAATGTTCAAGAAATGAATTTCATGCATTTTTTGTGATACCCTGACGTGTATTTGACCGAGTCATTCTTGTAAATTGTAATGCTTAGCTTACTGATCTGCCACATCAACACTTAAACCTATAACGATGACACATCACACACTTTCAACATTTTTAATTCGTACCTACCTAAACTTCTGTGGCCTATTCTGTATAAAATGCAAATAAAAAATGGTAACTAAATTGATGGCAATAGAATAGACAAACTAAAACGGTAAAGCATTAGGGAAAATTTAACATAATAAATGTGCATATTCAAGTTAAATCCAATTCAAGTAGGTGCATAAATGTAAAAACCGACGCTTATATAACTGTTGCGAACTGTTGTCCGCTCAGTTGGCTCGACAACACACCCCACTAAGGGTTGAAGTGTCATCCCTATTGTGACAAACCCATTGTTGTGGAGCTAAGATAAATGATTGTAAAATAAAATGTTTCTCCCTAATAGTATCGTACCCAAATACATTATTACTGCCATATAAGCGGAAACGAATGTAGGGTAGGTAAATCTAAGTAGAAATGATACTCGACAATTCTGATGAAATTAAAAGTATGTGAATTAAGATCCAACTTGATTTACTTTAAAAGGTGCAACGTCTTCCTCAAAAATGAATGGCTCTCTCAGAGAGTTTGTAGGCATATTTCGGTTTTGTTGGTATCATTTACTTATACAATTGGATAAACGCGTTATAACAATTCAAGAAGAAAACTTATCGCCTGTAAAAGGTTAGCGGGAAGAGGAAATTACATACATCAGGATGACCCATAATCAACCGTCAGTTATAGCCATGTCTGAGTGAGAACCACTTGTGCCTAGCTGATTTACTGTATTCAAATAACAGTCATCTCATTATTCTATGCAGACTTATCGTCATATTCACTTACATAAAGTGCATTTTTATGGAAGTTCATCGTGGACAGACATTGAAGAGTATAGTCACATTTTTCACCGCAACGTTTTCAAGTTCGTCTCGAATGTGGAGTGTAGCTTTGTAAGAGGAGGGCGATTCCGGTCGAAGAAAGGGATCCAATGCATATTTTCTGGGGCTTTTTGGCTCGACGTTAGCACACCTCGTGTTCCTCATATCGAAACGGAATTTATACATTATTAACGATCCGAGACCGTCTATAATTTTGTAATGCCGGTTGTCTGTCTGTCTGTTTGTCTGTCTCTATTGTGAGCTATCTATCTTTGATATATCAATTTGTAGTGCACTTTCACAAAAAAAAATGGGCTATGGTGGCCACTTTCTCCGTCCGTTTGTCCGTCCCTACGGCTTTGTATCTTTAACTTAAGGGCAATTGTTCTACTTTTTTCGCTATTTGGTCTGTTATGGTATGTTGGTATCGAGACTATCGAGACTTGCACAAGGAAGGAATATTTTCTCTTTTGTTTTGACATCACCAATGGATATATTTCTTGCATACGTCTCAATCACCCTTTGTGAGTACCCTCTTCCGACAATTCGTTCTTGACCTGGTTCTTGAGGTATAAGGGAATATACCCGATCACGATAAGAGGCCGAGGAGGAGGGTTATGGTTGGTAGAAATTAATTCCTTTCGTTGAGACTTTTCATTAGAGTACCATGAAGGATAAAACTAGTTCCACTCCACCCTCCCCCTCCACCTCGTACTTTGATAAGAGGACAGAAAGAAGGGTAGTAGTGGGCAGAAAACGGTTCCTTTCGTTGAGACCTTTAATTAGAATACAATGAGAGACAACATTAATTTTTAATAGGCATGCATATGCAAAATCTGAGACCAATTGGTTTCGTATATAAAAGCTATGCACGTTTTACTTTCAAAAACAGCATCTCAGGAAATAATTTGTGGGGGGGGGGGGGGCTTTAGACAGCGAAATTTGATGGCCATCTGGCACACCTTCACTTTCTATATTCACTATTCAGTTTATATTTTACTTGCGCATAGATTATTGGTTCCACTATATTGGTGCCAGTTGCATCTTTAATTCTGTTTCCACTTAAAATCAACTGATGCCAGTCGACCATGCCAGATGAAATAGCAAAACACACTAAAGCGCAACTATATAAAGAGTATACTATACTTAAATACAAGCAGATGAAAGAACACAAAAGAATGTCAATGCTTTACCTTAGTTTATTACAATAACCTTTTTAGGGTATTGTCCAACAAGAAAGTTGCATTAGTTACATTCTGTCCGTCTTCATTCTCCATCCGTTCTCGTCCTCATGTCCGTTCACCTACCATGCCTTTGCTGATGCTTATAGATGTGTTACTAAGATTTGTTTCTGTAAATCCTCGCCATTAGGTACCTACCTGATTAAATAACTCTTTTGCAAATTTAAAGACATTCCTAATTTGCGGAAACCTATTTGCATTTAAAAAGGGTAGAGTTAAAATCGATAAATGTAAATTGTTGACGTTACCATTGAATAAAAAATTATTTTTATTCAATGCGATTGTGGGTACGCCTTTGTAGGTATATTCAATGTGTTTAGTCATATTTGGATGGATATTTATATTTATGTTTAATGTTAAAAAGGCAAGCACGAATAGTTGTAATAGTAGGCTTGTAATGTTATGTCAGTTTGAAATTAAAAATAAAATACTCAAAAACGCTTGAGTTCAACATGGTCCTTCGAGCAAGATTAATCAGTTAATGTAATAACAAATTGGTACGGAAAAGAGCGGTGTAAATTAGCTACTGTTGGTACATTTTAATTAGTACGGTTAAACTCATATTGCGGTTTGCAAGTGGATTTTAAAGTTACCTACAGTACACAAGGGGGTATTAGTAAATTGCGGTGCATCGGATTTCTTACACATTTCACTAATACTAACTTTCACGGACATCGTTGAATTGCACATCGGACGGAAGGAAGAATCTCAGAGTAAGTGACTTCCAATTAGTTACCATCTTACATTACTTACAATACAATTCATTCAAACATCAAACATGCCTCATACAGACGGAATTGATGATATCAACGCTGATAATGCACGTGAAATTCGAATTTTAGTGGGAAAACGTGCTACGCTTAAAGGAACTTTTACAAAGTTCAAAAATTGGTTCGCGAAATTAACGGATAAACAAGGACTTACGGACACTCAGATTAATCAATTAAAAATGCGACTAGAATTACTTCGAGTTACGTTTAGTGAATTTAATCTTATACAACGTGAAATCGAAATGCTTGATCGAACCATTGAATAAAAACCACATTTATTCAATGATCGAACTGAGAACCAACGGAAACAGGGTGAAGAATTCGAAATTCTTTACTTTGATCTGGCTGCGGAATCGGAAACAATAATACAACGGTATGAAACTAATAAAAGTAAAGAAACTCTATCTTCGGAAATGCAATTGAACAATAGTGCTTCGCAATCTTCATCAACTCATCAAGTGAAATTGCCTACGATCCACTTACCTACATTTGAGGGCGCTTTTGATCAATGGATAAAATTCCATGATACATTCCAGTCAGTTATCCATAACAACGAAAGCATTACCAGCATCCAGAAATTTCAATATTTAAAAGGATGCTTAACGGGCACGGCATCGGAAACTATCAAGTCACTACCAATCAGCGCGTCGAACTACGAGGTAGCGTGGGAGAGGCTTTGCAAGAGGTTTCATAACAAGAAGCTCATTGTTGAAAATCATTTGAAGGCATTATTCGGGCTAGGACAGGTTAAGAAGAATTCACATGTATCCCTAAGAGATCACTTGGACAAACTTTTGAACAACGTGCAGGCATTAGGAGTACTGGCACATCCCACCCTAGATGACATGTTGGTCTACATAGCGGTATCTAAATTAGACTCATTTACCAGGGAAAAATGGGAAGAGGCCACGGTAAACATCGATTTTCCAACTTTCGAGCAACTGACGGAGTTTATGCAGGAACGCTGCAAAATACTAGAATCTAGAACAATAAAGGAGCCAATTAATCAGTCGAACATATCTCGGGATCAAGGAAACACTAAACGCGTAGATCGTGGCACGCCTCAGAAATCTAAAATATCGTTCACAGCCGTTCATCCTTCATGTTCGCAGTGCCAAGGGGAACATTATCTTTCTAATTGTGATCAATTCACAAGATTGCCGGTAGAAGAAAGATTTAACATTGTAACAAGGTCCAAATTGTGTATTAACTGTTTGAGACCTAATCACTTGGCGCGTTTCTGTCGCAGTTCGAGATGCAAGAGGTGTAATGGGAAACACCACACCACATTACATAATCACGACCACACCTCTGCGGTCGAAAAGGTGCGTTCAACACAACCAGCAGGAAACATATCGGCTACAGCAGCAACACACACTCAGGAACACGAAATTGAATCATACTTGTCGCATTCGGAAAAGGTATTTCTTGTACGTTGTAATGAAGTACTTTTATCAACTGCCGTGGTAGATGTTGAGAATGCGCAAGGAAAATATGAATCTTGCAGAATACTGTTGGACAGTGCAGCGCAGTCTAATTTCATCACTGAACGTTTTGCGGAAATGTTACGGTTAAAACGGGAAGATGTACATATTCCCATTGTGGGTATAGGAAATTGCAACACAAAGGTAAATCAACGAGTGAGTACGATCATGAAATCGCGAACAACTGAATACAAGATTAAAATAAGCTTTTTAGTAATACCAAATATTACAAGTAGACTGCCTTCGGTGGACTTTTCTGCTCGCATTATTTCAATACCGGACAACATCATATTAGCTGATCCACACTTCAGTCAAGCGCGACCAGTTGATGCATTGCTTGGTGCGGAAATATTCTGGGAATTAATTTGCATTGGGCAGATAAACGTGGCATCGCATTCGAAACTTCGGCTACAAAAAACATTGCTAGGGTGGGTGATATCTGGACAAGTGCCATTGAGGATTACAAATGATCGCACTGCCCACGTTGTAAGGGCTTGTTGTGCAACTACCGATCTAAACCTAAAAATTCAACGAAAAGATCCCATTTGGTCGCCAGATGAAAAGTTCTGCGAAATTCATTTCTCTCAAGAGACGAGAAGGGGCATAGATGGTAAATTTATAGTTTCATTTCCATTTAAGTCGTCAATTCAAAACTTGGGAGATTCAAGGAGTATGGCGCAAGGGCGATTTATGGCGTTAGAACGGCGGCTCCAAAGGCAGACTTCACTTAAGGATCAGTACGAAGAATTTATGCAAGAATACATCAATCTTGGCCATATGTCGGAAGTATCGGAAACTACAACGAAGAAGAGTATTTTCTTCCTCACCATTCGGTAATCAAAGAAGCGAGTTTAACTACCAAGTTACGGGTTGTCTTTGACGGATCGGCAAAGACGACAACTGGCATTTCATTAAACGATATACTGCCAGCTGGTCCCACCATACAGGACGATTTATTTTCCATTTTATTACGGTTCAGGCTCCACACATTCGTGATAACAGCGGGCGTGGAAAAAATGTATCGTCAAGTATGGGTCAAGGAAGCTGATAGGCGTTTCCAAAAAATATTTTGGCGACGACATCCTAAAGAAGTACCTATTGAAGGAGTATACATTAAACACGGTAACCTATGGCACAACAACGGCACCATATCTGGCAATAAGATGCTTGACAGAGCTGGCAAATCAAGCGGAAAGGGAACATCCCATAGAAGCGGAGATTATTCGACACGATTTTTATGTCGACGATCTCATCACAGGTTTCAACACGCAAGAAGATACACTTTCAATATGTGCGAAGATCACAGAAATACTGAATTCAGGCGGATTTCATCTCCGTAAATGGAGAACCAACGATGCTACAATTCGAGAAGCTATAAATGGTCAAAGCAATGACCCTACTGTCAGTCTCACGTCAGACCGTACTTCAAAAATTTTGGGAGTTTTATTGGATTCGGATCAAGATTGCCTACAGTACGTTGCAGATATAAAATCAAATTCAAAGGTGACCAAGCGAGTTATCTTATCCAGCATATCGCAGCTATTTGATCCTTTGGGAATAGTCAGTCCTATCGTGGTACGAGCAAAATTAATGATGCAACGACTTTGGCAACTCAGACTGGACTGGGATGAATCGGTACCTCTGGAACTTATCTCTGAATGGTCTGAGTATTGTGCGCAACTTGGAATGTTAAATCAATTACAAATACCTAGACAGGTAACAATGCACCCAAAATATGCGTCAATTGAATTACACGGATTTTGTGACGCTTCCGAATCAGCATACGGTGGATGTATCTATATCCGAACTTCACAAGACAACAAACATTTTGGAATGAGGTTATTATGTTCAAAATCTCGAGTGGCGCCTCTTAAGTCAGTAAGTTTGCCAAGATTAGAGCTTTGCAGTGCTCATCTACTGTCGGAATTGGTAGAAAGGGTGAAGACAGCGTTAAAAATATCATTTTTAAATGAATATTTATGGAGTGATTCCACGATAGCCCTTGCATGGATAGCAGGAACTCCAAAAACGTGGACCACATTTGTTGCCAATCGGGTTAACCAAATTCAAGAACTAACGAAAACGGCAATTTGGCAACACATAGACACGAAACAAAATCCCGCGGATATTATATCTCGTGGAGCAAAGGCAAAGGATCTAGTGGACCACAGTTTGTGGTGGTTTGGTCCAGAATTTTTGCGGAACTCGAACACCACTTGGCCTATGCAACCAGCAATCATGCAAGCGACATTGGAGCACAGAACAGGGCAAAAAATTGCGTTAAACGTGACAGAGGACTTCAACATTATTGAACGTTACTCGTCACTAACGAAACTGAAACGAGTAACCGCATATTGCCTCAGATTTTGCCACAATTGCAGATGCCAAAGGGTGGAAAAACGATACGGGTTATTGAATCTTGATGAAATAGAAGAAGCATTTACTAAACTTTTGAAAATATGCCAAGACCAGCACTTTAAAGATGAAACCGACAGATTGAAGAAAAACCAATCGATCAGTAAAGGAAGCAGATTACTTTCATTAACACCATTTATTGGAAATGACGGTCTGCTACGTGTTGGGGGGAGATTGACTCATGCAGATGTACCATTTAATCAACGACACCCTATAATACTTCCAAGCAGTCATACGTTGACCACTATGATTATCAATTATGAGCATTTGAAATACTTACATGGTGGTATTCAGTCTACATTGGCAAATGTACGTACGCGATATTGGCCACTAGGTGGTAAAGGTACAGTCAAGCGAGTTTTAAGAAATTGCATACGATGTTGCAGAGCACAACCAAAGTTAATGGAACACCTCATGGGTCAGTTGCCCGCGGCACGAGTTCAAATAGCTCGTCCATTTTCAAATTGCGGAGTCGACTACTGCGGTCCATTTAAACTTTGTTTTCAACGCAAACGAAGAGTTGTCGGACAAAAGGGATATGTTGCTGTCTTTGTATGTTTTGCAACGCGAGCAACACATTTAGAAATAGTTTCAAGCTTAACAACGGACGCGTTCCTCAACAGTTTCAGGAGATTTATCGCCAGGCGTGGGCACGTCTCGAATATTTATTAAGACAACGGTACGAATTTTGTGGGCGCGAAGAATGAACTAGATCGTATATCAAGCTTGCTTAAATCAGATGAATATAAAGATAAGTTTCAACGTGTTCTCATAGATCTCGGGACAAAGTGGCATTTCATACCTCCAAGATCACCTCACTTCGGAGGACTCTGGGAAGCCGCAGTTAAATCGGCTAAACATCATCTCCGGCGCGTGGTTGGGGAAACGTTATTAACCTATGAAGAAATGTCAACTTTACTAACTCAGATAGAGGCATGTTTGAACTCTCATCCCCTAACTAACACATCTAATGACCCAAACGATTTTACGGCCCTCACTCCTTCACATTTTCTAATCGGAAGTTCACTTACGGCTGTACCTGAACCATCATTAATGTTGGAAAATGTCAATCTCTTGTCTCACTGGAAACGGGTGCAACACATGTTTCAAGGGTTCTGGAACAGATGGTCGAAGGAGTATCTTTCTCAGCTTCAGCAACAGACGAAATGGAATACAAACCACTCTCAAACGGCGTTAAAACCAGGTGCGTTAGTGACTCTCAAGGATGATAATCTTCCTCCACTTCAATGGAAGCTTGGGAGAATCGTTCAACTTCATCCAGGTGAGGACAATGTTTGTCGGGTTGCATCAATTCAAACAGGAAGGTCAATCCAGAAGGTGGCGGTTCGGAAGATATGTGTGCTTCCAGTTCCTATAGATCGGACCGATACGAACAAAAGTGACTAGTGCAATGTGAGAGGATTGACAAAAACAATGTATTATTTTGTTATAATTTAATGTAGTTGTGTGTGTTTAATTGAAATTACGGGAGTCCTTTCAAGGGCGGCGGCATGTTTAGTCATATTTGGATGGATATTTATATTTATGTTTAATGTTAAAAAGGCAAGCACGAATAGTTGTAATAGTAGGCTTGTAATGTTATGTCAGTTTGAAATTAAAAATAAAATACTCAAAAACGCTTGAGTTCAACACAATGCTTATGTGTAGCACATAAGATATGTATTTCCATAGAAAGTTATATATGAATGGACATCTTAAAATTTTAACCAAATCCCCTACTTGGTGGGGTTTTGAGTATGATTTAAACCTTGAGTAAATTGACGGATCGTTCAGTGAACGATCAAAACCATATGATTTTCCAACAGCTTTGGGGCGTCCTAAAGAATACCTAACGTTTGAATCTCGAAACGCGGTGAGCGACAAATGAAGGTGTCCAAGAATATATTTTTATATCTATCTATATCACAATAGTATAGTTAATACATTGAAAGATTATAGATAGCACACTACAATATTGATTAATTAAATCATGAAATTTTATAACTTGTCTGTAACCTACTGTGCGTATTGGAAGAGTCTTCATGGTAAGTATTTGCTGCACTGACTAACATGATGTAAATGCATATGTAAATCACATCAAACACCTCGCTGTGTTGCACTAAGCTCGAATCGTGCTTACTATAACGAGATAAGGATTAACATCCTCACATAGGATAGATATAACAACTTACTCCTGTTGCATACATGTTCCGTTCCTCTTAAGGTTGAAGTGTCGTGTGTATGCGGCTGCTTCATGGACGTAGAGGGTAGTTGTTTATTTTTTGTAAGAGATTAAATGGGTCTTACTCGCCGTACTATAATGCAAACCTCTTCATTAACAAAAATAAATGACTGTGATTTTTAAAATGCAAAAAATGCTGTTTGAATTAATTACACAAGCGTATTCAATTGCTTGTAATGGAATAAACTTTTCACGCATTTCAATTAGGGATACGTTAATGCAAATCTGAAAAACCAATATTGAAATGTTCAATCCCGTTACACCGAAAATGGTGAAATTTTCCTCGCATTAAACGATGGGTTGTTATTTCTAATTTAAATGCATTGACTTGATAATACCAATTCTCTGCCGCGATATTAATGCAAATCTTTATTTAATAGGTGTTTTACGCGGCTTGTGCTAAATTATTTACCAATATTTTAAGAACGATCCAACTTTCACCTTGGAAACGAAGGGAGTGTTTCATATTCAATAGGTACTTATTAGTGATACAATACGATCCGCTGCCCAGCAAACATTTCACATTACAGCTACATAACATGGGAGTAATATGTTGTGCGTCAACTATTTATGTAACGTTGCATAACTTCAACATACTTCCGCTACATAACAGTTACAGAACATGCCGAAGCCCTAAGACGAGTAACTTTAGCGCATTTTTCATGCATTGATCAGTACTTCCCAAAAGATCACAGAACGTACTATTTGTGTGTACAAAGGAAAATACGTCAAAGCATTTTTTATAGTTAAAGCGTATTTATTTTAAGATACGATTAGCCATTTTTTGTAATTCTACGGTTTATGAAAGCTGACAGAACTTTCATAAACGTTGTTGGTTGTAAATGTAGTTTTACCTACGGTTTAATATACGTAATTGTGCTATATATTTCTCCAAATACTACGCTGCTGATTTTTAAGCTTTTTGAATTGTTACACATACTAGACGGGAAAATCTTGATAGTCGGTGATTTTAATGTCCCCCATCTGTCAAACGGAGATCCGTACAACCTAAAATCAAGTATCTACAGTGCTAGGTACTATATGAACTTATTTACCATATTGATCAATACAACAGCGTTCCGAAGATGTGGATTCCGCATTTGAAAATTTTTGCAACACGTTATACCACGTTTTTGAGTCGTCTGTTCCATTTCACCAAAATAGTCACCGAAACCATTAT